AATGTATTCTTTAAACTAGTTTTCTAAAATGATCAAAATTAGGAAAGAAATTCTGACTGCCCTCTTCTCCATGTGTAATGAAGATTGAACCTAATTTATTCATACCAATCCTCCCCTTCCTAGCCTGTTAATACAATCTTCAGTTGCTGATAACATTATGTGAGATCATTGTTTTAAGACATTCTGTCTTCTCCTTAAGGAGTGATTTATGTATTTATGTTTAATTTTTGAATCAGATTTATAAAATTTTGACTTATTAAAGTGGATTCTCTTTTTCCCACTCACTGTCAGCTGTTTAGCACTAGGATTTCCATTTTTTAAGTTGTTAAATGCTGTTCGTTTCTTGGTTGGCTTGAGTGAATTTCTGAGTGACCTATTTCATTAGGTGAGGCTGTGACTACACACAATCCTTGGCTGAGAACATTTGTTACCATTTTTTCCCCCTAAAAGGTATAATGGACATTGTCTGAGAATAGGCTTCTGTGCTCAGTTTTTTTTTTTAATTTCTTCAAGTCTCTAAATGTTGCTATGTTGTTTCCTACCTTTTAGTTATTTTGAGATGCTCAAAAGCAGTCTGCTTTTTTTTTTTCTGTTTTCTCTTCAATCCGGCATTTTTTAGAAGCACTTTTGTAATTTGGTAGCCAGAGGGTAGATGGTGTCCTCTTACGTCTCAGTGACCTTCTTAGGAAGCTGTTGGGACAAATCCTCCACTTAGAAGCCCCGACTATGTGAAGCTGTGGACAAATGCTGGGTCTACTGGCCTACACTTCGTGAAGGATTTCCACTGATTGCTTACTGTTGACATGTGTTCCCAACTCCTGCCTGCCTGTGCTTAGGTTTTTTTCTTATGATGGAAAACCCATAGATGCCTGTGTAACATTTTAAATCAAACTTCTTGGCATTGGAAAGGTTTCCCTTCAATTGAATTCTATTTTCTTCATAACTTTAAGGTCCTTAAAGTTTCTTTCTGATTTTTTGTGGTACTACAGATTTTTTTTTTCTTGATTTATGTTTTGTTGTTTCAATCGGAATTAGTCATGGGTCTCAGTTTGCCAGTGGTTATCTTCCTCTAAATTACTGAAGAATTTTTCAAGTTTGCTCCCTTCTAACTGTCATTTTTGCAGTTAACTCCTTTTGTTAAGGATTTAAATTGTGTTTTTTGTCATTTTAATTTCATTGCAATCTCTTGTTTTCTTATTATGCTATCTTTCATCTCAGTATTAAGGCTTTTTGTGTCACATCTTTATCCTGGGCTTTATTAAAGATGCTGAAGAATCTTGTAAAAATGTTTTCTGGTTCCTGTAAGAAGTCATTTTCAGAGGTACAATATTCTCAGTATTCAGACTGATATTCTCCTTAGCCCTTGCTGTAATGTATTTTTTGTTGGTCTCATGTAGGGTCCCCTCCTCCATTTTCTATTTTACTTATATCAGAGCTAGGAAGAATTTATGAAAGCTTGATATATTTAAAATAAGAAGTTTGTGTTCATAGTGTAAATGACAGAGCTGTTAAAAGCTACAACTCTCAACATGCCATATCGTCAGGAACGTTTCTGCTTTCTCCCTGCTCTTTGCTGTTTGCCCTTGGAGGAGAAAGTGCACTCCAGTGTTCCCAGTGTAGCACTCCTCTTCCCCTGCTTCCTTCTCCTACACACGTATCCCCACAAGCACTGTTCCGTCATCTGGAAGTTGCCATCTGTGGACCAGTATGGAGAAATGAGGTTAAAAAGGCACAGAGATAACACTCTGGCTCCCTACAAACTGAGCACCTCAAAGTAAAGGACTGGCTGCACTTCTCTTGTTTCTGTGAAAGACATGGTAGGCAGGAGAGATCTATTTTTTTTTCTTTAATTTCTTTTCTTCTTTCTTTTGGGGAACAAGGCTGCTGTGTTTCATTAAGTGGCATGTGGGTATTCCTTCTTGCTGTTCTTAATCCAGCTCCACCGATTTTATGGTTTGTGGAGATTCTCTGTGAGTTACTGATGTCTCTTTTCATTGTCAGTCTCAAAGTTGTGTGGATTTTTGACATTGTTTTCTGAAATATCTATTGAACGTTTCAAATAACTCTGTGTAAAGGTTGCAACTTAGAGACATTCTAATTCTTTTAAAATAATTAGTCATAAGGGAAACAGTAAGAAGAACCTAGGAAAACTGTTTTGAATGCTGATGTTTCTAACTTTTTTCAAGGTAGTTTGAAGACAGACAGCTTTTTATGAAATCCCTGGCTATTATTAGTGTAGAAGAAACACTGAACCGGAATCTGGCTAACTGACGTGCAATCCATGTCTGGTACTGTTTAGGTGTGCAATGATTGACAGTAATTTTAACAGTTTAAAAAAAGAAAAGCAGAAAAGTAAACTGAGCCAAGCAACTATGTTATTTTAGACAAGCCAGTAAACCTCTGCCTTAGTTTCTTTATTCACATAATTAGGGGGATGTCTAAAGTACTTGTAAATTACTTTATACGTGTTTGATTTCATAGCTTGTAAAACCAAGTCAATGGACTGGTAATTGAGACTTGGTGTACTACGATGAGTTTACAAAGAAGCTAGCACTGTATTAAAACTTCTGACCTAATCCAGTTTGAAAACTTCTTTCTTACATGCATTGATTTTCAGTTTTGATTTTTAACAAACTTCATTTTATAAGTATTGATGCTTCTATTTTTGGCAAAGGCATTTTCCTTTATAGAAAAATTTGAAATCAGCAGCACTGATAGAAAATAGCGTGTTAGTGTGTTTCTGGTGAAGCATTTTTCTCTATAGGGTGCTGACACTGATGGATCTTTTTCAATTCACATTTCAGTGAGAGTGCCCTAGGTCAGTGACAATCTTCCAGACTTAAAAGAGAACAGAAGGCACAAGACGTTATGAGTGTTAGGTATATTCAGGGAAAAAGTTTTGTGAACTCTGAGACTGTCCTTTCCTTTACTTGACCTTGTGAAGTATGGGTGATGAGTACTCTGGGGAATGGATGATGAGTTATTCACCTCAGAGAGCGTCTAGACCTTTTTCTTCAGACACCATCTTAGATAAAAAAAGTTATTGAACTCATATCCATTGACTTTGAAATAATGACGTTTTTTGTAATTCAGGTCAATTCAACCTTTTGAATCCAGCCATTTTATATGTTTTCATTTAAATCTCACAATAGTCTCTGAAAAGTAGGTTTTGCTGTATTTACTTTATAGGTGGTGGCGTAAGATTTAGATAAGGTATGCAAATTGCCCTTTGTTACCTATCTAGTTAGTGGCAGAGCTTAGATTCCATCTCTCATTTTTCTGACTCTAAATTTCATGCTTGTAAACATCATTTAAGTATATCAGTTAAGATTTAGTTCTTCTGCATGTAACAGTCACCTGACAAAAGCATTGGATTACCAAACTGGGCTTTATTTATTGCATATGCAAGCAGTGCCTGCACTACTGATGCAGATGCTTAAGGGAATCCTCAAGATCCAAGCTTCTTCTAGCTTCCTTTTCTTAGTAAGTGACTTCTATCCTCATTGTTGCAGGATAGCTGCTCGATCCTCTGGTATCATGTATTCATTCCAAGCAGGAGGAAAAGAATGAGCAAAGGAGAAAAAAGCTCCTGATAATCTAAATTTAATCTTTTTTCTTAATGAGAAAAAAAATAGCTTATATGGAAGGATTTCATAATATACTTCCATTTATATCTCATTGACCAAATCTATATTTATGGCTGAACTTCAAGGGAGTCAGGGGAGTTATCTTCTAAAAAAATTTCTATTGTGGTCTAATTGACATCCAGTAAAATTCACAGATTTTATGTATACAGAGCTATGATCTTTGACAAATGCGTACACCTGTGTAATCACTGCCCCATCAAGATACAGAACGTTTCCATCTTGAGGCAATGTTAACTGAGCACTTTGCCATTAGTTCTGAAAAGGAGACACATGATATTAGTGGGGCAACAGGCAATGTTGTACTACTAAGATTAAATATTAATGTACTTAAATAATAGTTTCAAAAAGCAAAATTGAAAAATAGGAAATACCCACACATGGGAGAAGACCAGTTATTAGTTAACCTGGCTTAAAAATTAACTTGAACAAATCTCCCAGATCTATTTGTCTTAGTTTTCTGATATTAAAAAAAGATGTAAAAAGTTCCTGAACATGTCAAGAATTGTGGTTTAGATCCAAGAGATAATTTACGTGAGCTCTGTAAAGCTCCATTTAAATATGAAGAATTCTTTTTTTCTGTTTTTTTATTGTTACAGGTGTTTATTTTGAAGATGATGATTAACATGACTTACTGGCCTGAAACATCACAGCTGTGAAATTCAAATATAATTTGAAAATGTACTAACTTTTAAACTTATTAGTGACTTAGAAATCAAGGCAATATGTAGCTCTAGATAGAGGCAATTTTATATTTGCATTATTATCAGTTCGCTTCAAACTACATCTCTTTCAATTGGGTAACAGTACCACTAAATGTATAATTTCCTGAAAATCTTAGAATGTATGTACATTTATGGCTAATAAATTGATTTTGATAAATTGCACTTTTGTAAAAATCAAGTAACGGTCAACTTTTAGAGTATTTAGGAAGATCATTTTTTAAAAATTTGTTCTCTTTTGAGAAGAAAACACTCTCTTGAATTTCACCCCTTGGAATCAGTTGCAGAAGGTTAAAAATCAAAACCTACTGTGAGATTTTTGAGGACACTCTGGAGCCAGAGCACTTCATTGCTTGTTATACAGGATCCATGAAGAAATGGGATCATTTGTAATATTTATTACTCCCAGAGTTTTGTCAGAACACTGCTCTGAACTCAAACATCTTGCCGAAATGTGGCTCTTTTCAGTAAACTTCTATCATAACCAAGGATCGACCAATACAAGTCTTTATTGAAAGTAAATTTATCTGGTAAACTAGGATAGTCATTTCTTCTGACCTATTACTTTTTTCCTTAAAAAATCATTTATTATTATTTTACATTAAAGTGTTTGTTTTGTTCTTAAAATTTCCAGGTTGGATTCAGCACTGGCTTTGTTGGTCCTTGGGGAGGCTGCCAAATTAAACATGGCCTGCTTGAAAGCTTTAATGGACCTAATGAGAGATTTTCTTTCAAGCATTATGTCTGTTCTGAATCAGGTAACAGCATATTGTTAAGTTAGGTGTGCAAAAACACCTGAATGGAAACAGTTTTTATTTTTGCCACTACTTTAACTGTATATCATGTTAGAGCTTATAATGAGCGTAACTTTGTAATGATAATTTTAATTAAATATAAAAGTAAATGCATATTTACCGTATGTCCCAGTATAAACAGATAGATATAGAAGTAGATAGAGATAGAGAAATAGATTAGACTCACATGCTCATGCGCACACACACAAAAGGGGTTTAAATTTCATTGATAAACTTGAGATCATGTAGTCATATATGGTTTAGCTTCCTATTTAAAAATTTTTTCATTGTCACTACATACTAAGGTTTACATTTCAGGGGGGATGAGATTTAACCATTTCTCTGTTGCAGATTGAGCTTGTTTCCAATTTACAAGTTAATTAAAAATAATGTTAAACTGATATTCTTGTACATAAAATCTTTATCTGCATTTATGACTATTTCTTTAGAATAGATTTATAAAATTAAATTATTGGGTGACAGACTATGAACTTTCTTGTAATATTCTTAGGATAGCTGTCCAAATTCCTCTCCAGAAGACATAACATTCTTGCTTTTCTATGAAAAAAAATGTATAAAAGTACATACACAGGAATTGAGTTTTATATAAAAAAGATTCTTTTACAATATGAAATGAAAAATAGTATCATATTAGATTAATTTACATTTCATTGATTACTAAGGAAATTGAAAAGTTGTTCCTTGTATACGTTTTAGCTATGTTTATTTTTTATTCTTTGAACTAGGTTTTATGTAATTCATCTATGGAGACTTGTTCTTAATGAGTGCATTTTAGAAATGTTAGTTGGTTATGGTCTTTTAACAACTCCATAAAATTTGAAGATAGATAAGTACAGTGTATAGTTCCTCATTATGAAGGAGCATGTTTTGATTTTCTAATAGCTATTTTCTCATTTTAGGAAGAAAGCTGCAAGGTCGACAGTTTTTCCTGGGCCTGGAATGTTGTCTACATATACACAACAATTCTTGCAGAAATCTGCTTGTATGCGGCCACTTCTGATTTGCAAAAAACTGCTTTCATTGGCTTCTGTGACTGTGAAAGTTCACAAGATATTTTACTCACAGAAAAATCAGAAGAACTGAAGGAAACAAGTATTTTAGGTCTTTTGGAATATTTCTCTTCAAAAACATCGGATAATTGTAAGTAAATTATTTTTCTACTTGAGAAATATTTTTAAGATATCTCTCTATACAATGAGCCGTTTACAACAAGTTAACATTTCTAGGTGGGAAATAATTTTAAATTCAGTAGGACTTTCTGCAAATTTGGGAGGTCTGTTTTATACCATGGAAAATTGTGATCAACAATTTAAAAACAACTGAAATGTAAAGTAGAGTCGGTTGATTTATGATTCAAATTATATTCCTTGAAAACAAGAGAGGACCTTAGGAAAACTTACGAAGTGTATATAAAGTTTGGTTTATTCATTTCCTCGTAAAGCCTTCTCATCCGTCTTCTCCATCTCCTCTAGGCATTTCCTGTTTCTCTTCTCCCCCCATCTCCAGAGCATTTCTCTTTAGTCACTCAAATATTGTGGTACATTCTTCACATCTCACATCTTTTTTTCTTTTTTTTTTTTAACATTTTATATTGATTTATAATCATTTTACAATGTTGTGTCAAATTCCAGTGTAGAGCACAATTTTTCAATTATACATGAACATGTATATATATTCCTCGTCACATTCCTTTCTCCGTGAGCTGCCATAAGATCTTGCATATATTTCCCTGTGCTATACAGTATAATCTTGTACTCCACTGAAATGTACTATCTTGTGTCTCAAGACCAAAGGTCTCGCTACTGTTGTTTATGGGTGTTATGACAGTAAAATACCTTTGTTTTTAAAAGGGCACTTTGGGGACAATATTAATTCAGAGATGTCCCTTTAGGTTGACAACAATTCTTCTTTATGAATATCATTGTGGTCTATAAGTTACTATAGTCTGTTATGTGTGTGACTCTCACTTCCATTAAGTTATGAGATAATTGAGACTTGAGAATCATGTCTGAATTTTATTTGTATTAACCCAGCACTCCAGCGTAGTATTTAGCATGTAGGAGGTGTGCAGTGATGACAGTGGATTTATTATGTAATTAAATGAATTATTGAATTTCAAATATAGTTGCAAGATTATTTGAGAGTATGGAAGGAGGCAAGAATACTGCCTTTCCTTTGGACCATAATTCACTGATCTGGGGTAAATTATGCTTGAATATAATTTTAAATAGTAAGACTTTGGTAGCAGATTTTAATTTCATTCCTCAAAACTGGCTCACTGTTTAAAAATTACTTTCAATATACTTTTGGTTTAATCAGTAGATTGGAACCTGTCATTTCAAGTGCAGTTTGCTTGAATTTTCCCCACGTTTCAAGAAGAATGTGTTTATTTTTTATTAGTGTCATTTTTAAAAGAAATGGCGGTGCTGGGGATGGAACCCAGGACCTCATGCATGTAAGCCTGCCCTCTACCACTGAGTGCTCTCCCCACTGTTAGTTCCAATTTTAAATAGATCTTCAGTCATTAGTAGGCAAATTGTATTTCTCCCATGTTTATAGTACTGATAAAGCGAAGAGGTATTCTCTTCTTTGGTTATTGACACTCTTAAGTATTCAGAATGGTCAGAATTCTTTCTATATAGCAGCTCATCATAGGCTTTTTAACCTGCCATAAACAGATTCATATAAAAATTTGGAGCCTCCAATTTTTTTTTGTCTAGGTGTGTAGAATTGGTTTTCTCTCTTCTTTCAGTGCTCTCTTCAGTGATGGTTCAGAAGATGTTCTTCCATGTGGAGGATCTTTACTCTTAGAAACCTCTTGGCCTCCCTCTGGCCGTGACCCCTGAGTGCTGATAAAACCTCACGATGATGAGGTTGCATCTTTCTGTGGATACTCACGTTTTCCTTCTTTCTCAGCAGTCTGATTCTTTTTTCCCAGCCAGTTGATGATTTCAGTGCATTCATTTGCTTATTGTTGATCCTTCTTTGAAGTTTCTCATCTTCTCCTGAAGACTAGACTTTGATAACACAGGCACAGAATTTGGGTGACTTCTTGGAAGAGACGTTTGCCTTTCTGCTTATTATCTGCAGCATTATATTGCTCAGCCTACTGAACAACACCCCCCAAACCTTCCCAGCTCAAATATTTTTCACTTTCCCTATCATTTCTCCCTCTGTCAACAGCAGACCTCTTGAGACTTTTGTTGCCATTTATGTGAGCTTTCTTCTGAGCAGTGCTACACATTATAGCCAACTATCTTTGAGCTTGGACTTGTCAAGCTCTAGTCATCCTTGGCTTTTGTTTTCTTATCTTTCTTATCTTTATAAATCTGAATGAGCACACTTGTTTCTGCTTGGTATGAATTCGACACCAACAGAAAAATATGACCTTCAAGAAACAAGAGATCCTGGTGTGTGTCCCTACGTGAGCTAGCTACCCAGATACCTGGAGTATAAGTGATAGTCTCATTAAGGTTGATATTTTTGTTTGATTACTTATTGAATAAATGCTGTAGGAGTTTCTGAATTTCATTGTACCAACCACTGGACAATGTTATGAATCAAAGAGCCCTCTCCACAGATCACACGGTGGCAGCATTTTATTCTTTTGATGGCATTATAATAGGTAGAAGGCAATTTCTAACAGACTGAGTTCTGGAAGGAGACGCCCTTTGAACGTTCACAAGTGGTGCAGAGGCTATGGGTGGATATTTTTGCTCTCCCTGACGTCCTTCCTATGCTTGTACTTGAACTCAGGAATGAAATAATTAAACAGTATTTTGTCTTTATTTTTTCAACCAAAGTGGGAAAATAGATGTTTCCAGCTGTGAAACACCTGTAAAAGTTTGATCTTCAATAAGGAGGATAGACATATCAAAGTTGCCTCCTCTGCAGTCAGAAGTCAATACATTTTCTCTGACATCAAACTTCTTGTACAAGCCATAAATAATCCTAGTGTCATCCATCTCATTAATGATTCTGAGTATTCTGAACCTCTCAATACTTACAATATCTTTGTGATTTCTTGTGGGAAATGTTTAAAGTAAGTTGATTATCTGATGATTGTTTTGTCAAGGACCTCTCAAGAATGTGTGAAAATTTTATGGTTTTCTTCTTCTCTGTCAGAACTAGAGAATGTACCTCCTGTGGGCATAAACTTTGGTCTCCTCCTCATGTCCGTGCTGGGCTTTTGGCCTTCGTTATGACACTACCATTTTGAAAAACCATTACTTTACATGACTGTACATAAGCAGAGTCAAATATTTTACCAAGTGATAGGGCTTCAAAGTTTTGTTGATGTGATTCATCATAACTTGATTCTTTGTAGCATCACTGGTCTTTTGTCTGGGTTGTCCTGGATGCATGATCATTGAGAAAACTTACCACTCCTTTAAGACCTCTGAAAAGAGATGGCTTCTAAAGTAGTGCAGGCCTTGCCAACATGATTGCTGGAGAGGACAGGTCTGTCTTTTGGGAAAGTGATGTACAGAACCTGGAGTGCCTCTTTATACTTAATTGAAAATTTTTTTCTTATATTTTACCCTTCAAGCAAGTACATTTTTTTTGTTTAGAGTGAAAGAACCAGTTTTGGAGTCATATGGGTTTGTATTTTGTTCTGTCACTTGTATCTTGAAATCATAGGTTAAATTATTTATTCTTGCTGACTTGATTCCTTTGCCTGATAATTAAGATAAGAATACTATTTATATCATAGGACTCTGTGTAGGAAAAAACAATGGAAACATAAAAA